ATAAAAGAGGAGCAGGCCGAGGCTAACTTGGAAGAGTTAAGCAGAGCGGAAACTGCTGAAATAGATCAAACTTCTAGAGCAAGCACAGCTGTGAACTCTATGGAGCAAAAGAAAGAAAGCATAGGAATTGAAGAGAGCGAAGAAAAAGTGGATCCTGATCGAGAAGGCGATAATACCACTGTTCTGGAGACTGAAGCGGCAACTAACGTGGATCGAACGGAGGCACTTGGTCATTTAGACGAAACAAAGCGCTATGATGAAGATGCTAGTAAATCGGCTCCTGAAAAAGTAGACCGAGATTCCAATATATGGTCAGATGGTTGTGGTCCGACTCAGGAAACTTCAGAAAGTAAATATACTCATGATGAAAAGCCTCAATCCGAGAAAGAACTATCCGAAAGCAAGTCAGGCGACGAAGAGGATGAAAATATAAATCTCAAAACAGAAACTGAAAAGCTTGAGGAAGTGAACCCAAGAACCGAATTTGGATTGGAGGATGAGATGGCTGAGCTGGAAGAAGGGTTAAAGTCACAGAAGAGCGTACCATACGTGACAGGAGAATCTCCTTTCTGGCAAACGCAGGAAATGGGTGAAGATGAAGTTGATCCGGGCGTAATTGATCAAACTCAAATCAGTGAGGTTAATCAAGAGACAGAGTCCCAGCATCTGACAGAGGCGACAGAAGACGTCGCGGAAACAGAGGCAGAATCCTTGCATGAGAAAAAAAGATTATTGAACAACGCCTCCCCGACGTTGCCTACTTCGAGCCCAGAGTTCAGATTGCCCCACAAAGAAATGGAGTCACCCAAGCCAAGGGATAAGCTTATGGTCCAACCTAAAGACAAGCCAAAACACCAAAGAAAGTATAAAAATGAACCCGAAACAGATCCAGGTCCCTGTCCCTGTTTCCCAAGAAAGCAAAAGAACAGACCTGGTACTAACAAAGAAAAAAGAGACAACAAAGACCTTATCAAGCCGGTCCAGATCAGAACCAGAAAGGTGTGAATGAAGGGAAAGGGGTAAGAGGCATTAAGAGATGTCAGAAAGTTGACAGTCATGCAAAGGTTTGCTTTGCACAAACTATTTAGAAACATATTGCATGATTATTCTGACAGCTACCGACTAACGTGATTTAGCTATTCATCTCGAACGGTATTATGTAATCTTTTGTGCAAGAATAAATTGAGTAACAGATAAAAGTGGTTTTATCATAGGGCAAATAAGAATGATGAAAACTATAGTCTCCTTTTGCTTGTTTGTAGTTTATCCCTTATCAAATGCGCAAGTAAACTGCACTTTTTGCTTAGTGTCGTCATTTTAAGAGCTCTATTATTTTTAATTTTGCTAATGGCCAGTAGTGAATATCATTATTTTCATTTTCTGCTCTTTCTTTGCACTCTGCCAACTCATGCACGCATCAAGTATGAAACATATGCTGATACGTGGGTCGCAGTGTGAGAAGCATCAGTTCAAGATCAGGACCCGAACATTGCATGAAAAAGAGATGGAAGACAGGCAGGCAACAGACACAAAGAAGATGGAAAGGACTTTTAGCGGTGGCCGAAAGTCGTCACTAGTGTTTAGGGCAAACGAAGCATCGAGGGAAAGCATCAAAGTCACATATTTCAGATGGCGACCTCCTTTTCATAACGTCAACAAAAAGCATGAATGTTTCATTTTTAACCAAAACAACCAGCTTCATTTATTTGTTCGAAATAAAACACCAAGCAATTTTAAATTGACTCAATTTCATCGTCGATACATGCGCCATCTGGCAGCTGATCACACCCCACGCGTCTGGTATCAGAGAAGATTAGCCGGAAGGCACCGTAGTTTCCGTTGGCTAGACATTCCGATTGGCATGTTAGATGAGTTGCCAAAGCTTACTGACAAAAACTACCCTACTCAAATAACCTGCACTCGACTCCAGAAATCCACCACTCGGATACAAAAGGGTAGATGTATCCTAGAGGCCAAAGCACCAACAATTGCTGTCCCATGTCAAAGGGCCTATCATCGGGCCCTTGTTGTTATGTCTCTTGCTCAAATATTTCACGAAGCCGAAAACTTTGTTATGTCCGACTCCAGTCCAGTAATTTGTCTATCACTGAAAATGATAGTCATTCTAAGCTCAGCATACGCAAAGCGAGATCAGATTGAAACGTTGACAGTGATCATCGTGAAAACCATCCTCAGCGCTAATATCTGTGCAATTTTACCGCTTATTCTACCTAGGCTACCAACACTATTCTGCAATGCAATTCCCACATTAGTGGGATGTGAACTACACCAAAGGGACCTAATCGAATTTGCCCTGGAGATGAATCTGGCTTGCAAACCTATAACTACTCACCACGGAGCTAGGCAAGGGAATAAAATGATTTTCGCGACACATACGGGTATAGAATTTAGAGGAAATCATATTAGCCAAGACCAGATGCCAGTGAGAACTTCTGAGATCAGCTGTAAACGAACATTATCCCGAACACATCAACACTCATTAATAGCAGCATGGCATATAGTAGAATCATCCAATCATAGGTTTGGCTTAGCAGTGGCATTGGGGCCATATACCACCAGCCAGTCGAGGCAAATATTTTGGAAGGATACAAGGCCCAGCCCATTGTTTCCTCCCTTACTTAAGCTGCAAGATACCGACAAACAGTTCAACTACAGACCCTTGCAAAAGGGCAAGCTGAGCACCATGGTAAATAGTTCTCGAGTGAAGAGATTAACTCGGCTTTTGCGAATGATACAACTAACTGAAAAAGCTGTCATGTCTAAAATGGAAAAACAGCAAGAAAGTATAAATCCAAAAATACATCTTTGTAGGCATTTATCAAACCATATAACCCCATTAGGAGATGGAGGTGACAATTATGAAGTGGCCTGTACAAATAAGGTATTTAAGACAGAGACATCAGTCAAAGAATGTTATTGCGAAAGAAAACAGAAGTCTGATGATGAAACCCACACTCAACTTCAGAGCATCTCACCACGAGCACTTGATGGACACAGGTCTATGCAACAGACAAATAAATTTTGTCCGAATACAAACAAATACATTGTACCAAATAGCTTAATAGAGCAGAATGAGACACACAATTCACTAGAAAGACTAGATTTAGTTGAAAATCTGGGAGAAAATAGGTCAGCCTATCGATTCGGTTACACGCTTTTTAACCAAACTCAGTGTGTTATGGACAAATACGAAATAGGAAGAGATTACCATGAGGTTATAGTTATAGACGAAGAGCCACCTTTGCCTCCAAACATGGAGGTTAGTGAAGTATCGGCCCCTCGTGGATCACCCTCGATTTACATAGAGATAGAAATCCAGGGACCCAGAATAGAAAACGAACAAAGTGAATCGACACTACTTGACTTCAGCGAGACTTCGGACGAGATGATTAAGCAAGAGAACGAAGCATTTCAAAAAGAATTTATTCAAGTAGGTACCAATGCTTCAAATGCAGTACGTGAAAGTTCTTTATCGGGTTCAAGCCGATCTTCTTTCTACAGATCGTCAGCACAAACGACTATGAATGAAACAGAAACTTGGAGTAGCACATCTAGATTGCCAGCCTATTCGCTTACAACAAGTCCTTCAAGTAGCTTATACAGCGGAGAAATAATTGGATCAGAGGCATCCAGAGACAATATAAGATTAGAATGGCATACATTGTCAAGCACTTACAGAACATCCAGCTCGCAAAGCCATCATTCCGATGGAAGTAGGGATGACGTTGAAACGTCCAGTCAATTGAGCTCTACTTCTTCACATACCAGTGCTCGAGGGAGGTCTACAGGGACAGATTTACAGTCAGAGATTGAAGATAATTCGAGTTATTCTAAACAAGATAAGCCCAGATCTATTACATTTTCAGACTATTGTTGGGAAAAGACTCAAACCTCAAACGAATTGGAGGTATCATTTGACAGTGGGTCTGAGGTAATCAGTTCTTTTGGCACCCCTTTATCCTTCTCAGAATCATTAATTAGATAGGTAGGAATTGCTACATTGATGAATGTAGTAAGATATTTATTTAAGCTCTTCGCTTAATAAACCAGTAAAGTCGAAATGTCAGCTCAAGAGCAGAAATAAAGTAATCCGTTAGTTCTAGATCAAACATAGTGGTAAGGGGTTTTGCCGTTAATATATTATATAGCTGTCGATGCAGTTGGATTCTTGGGGCCTTGAATAGTGCATATAAGATGCGTCCTGTAATAATCTAATCCATAGAGATTTCGCGTTATGAGTATGAATGAGTGAACAGTTAAAGAAGAAAAACCTATGCATAAAACGTAAATGATGCCAGGAAAGAATAATATATATATCGAGCTAGATATTGATTCAGGCAAAGTAATGCATTTTGTAGGATAATTTTTAGATATCCTTAGAGAGAGTACTGTTTTGCCTACAAGTTGTTGATAATGAAAAGTTTGTCAATCAATAATAAAAGCCGAGAGATGCAAACTTAAGGATTTTTTAGATATAGCAAATACTCTAATTTTCGACAATTCAGGAGTAAAATAAGAGATCAAGGTATCTTGACATACAGGTATATGCATAAAGTGGTTAAATATTAAAAGTAAATGAATTTCTTATTAATGATGATTTCCATCATCAGACCGTTGACTTTGGCATTCCCAGAAGTTTGGCCGGCATCGTCTGGAAGTCTACCAAGTCAATAATCCGATGCTGGAAATCATCAATGAAAACTACCTCAGAGGAGGTAGGACTTGGTACGTTCCATAAGGACCCGAACAAGTTGCGAAAAAGATCTCAAACCAGCAATATACAGCTTAAGGAGACTGCGGCCAAACAATAAGCCACTCAATAGATATATAGAAAAACCAAGTTTCGAAGAACATCATCAATAAGCCATACCATCTTAGTATTCAGAAACTCTCCACCTATAAATAAGGTATATGTAAATAAGCAAGGAGTGCCATGTAAAAAACATGGGCCTTTAATTGGGTTTTGAGTATAAATTTTGCACAGTTGTGAATAGTCACCAAGAGTCCTTGGCTTCATATCAGCCCCAATTTTCTCTGCCCAAATCATCAGCTCCTCATAAAAAAGCTTATAGTTAAAGAATACTAGTAAAAATAAAGATTCTAAAGTTTTAGACTTATTTAGCACTAAAGCTTAAGTGAGTAACGAAAATTACCCGTGAAGTATTAAAAATGGCATTATGAACTAAGTTCAGAATGGAAATTATTGGGGATAAAAGCTATGTCATATGGGTAAGATAAATACTGAAATCTTGTTTTTTCAATATATTTTAGAGGTCAGATACATGTGAAGAAAAATATTCAAGTTGCAGGAATAAAAAAGAAAGTAGGTAGATGGAGAAGCAGACAGGTGGGATGAGGGAAATGGAACCATCCAGCCAGAGAAGGCCAAGTATGATATCAATCAAGCTTTGGATATCTG